AAACTTCACAAAGAAATCTGAATCATATTCCCTTCCAGAATTAGAAATGTTACTTCAGTAATACAGTACAGTTAAAGACTGTAGTACCCAAACCAGGCACAGTAACTTAAACCTGTAATTCTAACTACTCAGGAGGTGAAATCTGAGGATAAAGGTTCAAAGCCAGCCCACGAAGGAAAGTCTATGAGAATCTTATCTCCAATTAATCACCAAAAAAAGCTGAAAGTGGGGCTATGGCTAAAGTGATAGAGCACTAGCCTTGAGCAAAGAAGTTGGAAGAGCACCCAGGCCCTGAGTTTACACCCCAGGACCAGCACACACACACACACACACACACACACACACACACACACAAGACTGAAGTGCCCAACATTTTTTTAGGAGTCAAGACATTGTACTCATCTCCTCTTAGGACATCCTGTTTGTTCCAGGTCCTCTTTTTAACCCCCTCTGGGCTGAAGAGCTTTAGTCTGTTTGGAACCCACCTTCAGGAAGCACCTATGGAAGCCATCAAGAAGTTACCTATTTCAAAGAACTTAATCTGGCCTATCCACATGACAGGGAGGCAAAGCAGATAGTGCCAGCCCTTTTTGAGAGGAACAGGCCTGGATGGATTTGTGAGTGGATGGATTTGTGCTCACCCAGAAGACTTTTGTGATCATTGTTTCCCTGGGTCCTTACAATAACCAAGCTGCAGGTGGCAGAGGTAGTGTACGTTGGTTTGCACTTGGGAAGGACCGAGTTCAGGGAAGGTAACTTGTTCTCTTCGGAATGTGGCAGCTGACGAATGTCACAGTGAGAACACATCCCCGATCTTCCAACTCTTAACCAACACCCTTTCCATTACACCAGGATTAACTCCACAATCATGAAAATCTCAAGACAAAGCAAATCTTAAATCTCCCTGTAGCTTCACCCTTAATATGATTCCGAATTCCCATGTCAATCACACTGCAGTTCCCTGAGAGAGACTGACAGGAAAGGCTTCCCTGGCTAGCTGCTTAGACTAGGCCAGGAGAGTCTAGCCCTGCACCTCACCCAGTGAGACTTGACTTCAAAGGTGCTAAGCATCCAGTTCTGACACTGCTGGCCTCTTGTTGCCTCGTATCCTGGGTGACTGCAGTGAACATAGGCTATACCACCAAGATGCAGGGGAACCAGGTATAGCAAAAGGCCATCAGTGGGAACAGGGGGCCAGAGTGCACCCAGGGAAAACCACTGAGGCTGAGGAAACCTCCACCTCTGCAGCCAGAGTTTGGGGTACAGGGAAGTTACTCCAGGACCGAGTGTGTTGCATTTGTGAAGGTCAGGCTTTAATTACATGCACGGTTAAATGGAAAAACTGTAGCGAGGCCACACTCATATTTCTTTGGCCTTCATTAATGTTATTGCTCTGTCACTTTCTCTCTCCTTGACTTTGTAAATGAAAGTTCCTTTAGTATATTTAAAAGGATTATTTATTTTTAATTGTTTTACCTCCGCAAGGGGAGGTTACTTTTTTACTTAGTAGACAAAAACAAAAACAAAACAAAACAAAAACAACTTTGCTATGCATTTCTTGTTAATTTATTTCAAACCTTGTGCTTTTTATAGTCTTATCTACTAATGCTTTTGATTAAAACACAAGCAAAAACCAGTCAACATGAACAGGTTGAATGCCACATCTGTGCGGAAGATAGCAGCTCACTTATTTATGACTCAAAGAAATGGAGCCTAAATTAAGCTAGCTATTGCTGGAGAGTGGATAAGCGGCCATTATGAATTATCCTTAATTATAGCGATTTCCTAAACTAATAAACCTGCTAAATCTTTATTGCAAAGGTTAGTTTACGCAGTGCATATAAAATCCGCATGTGCTCCGCATCAGCCACCAGCTGTCTGACAGTGTGTTGCTATTTCGGTGAGAGTTCACATAAATTTTATGTTGGTTATATTAACAGTCAGTCCATATCACTACCCACAGATGCCAGTAGACATAAAAATTGCTCTCTAGTGAGCCTAAATATCCCTAGAAGCTAGTTGTGTCTAATGTTCCATGTAGTATTTGTACGTGAAAGTACCAGATTGGAGGGTTATTTACAGATGAATATTTCAATCCAGTTAGTTCATATAGGCCTACTTAGCCTTCTTTGCTCGTTTATTTGTATGCTAAATAATTCACCAAAGGTTCTTGTTTACTTTCTATAGTAGTTTCTATGAAATGCAAACAAGGGAGCCAACTTTGGGTGTTCAAAAGGCTAAGCAGCTCTGTGTTTAAATGCAGGTCAGAACAGCAAATGCAGTCTTGCCGACGGGCTGTCACTCAGTTTTACATATTCCTCTGCTTTCTTCTTCTTCTTTTCTTTCTCATACCGATAGAACTGGAGCTTGCTGCTTTCATAGGCATTTTTGGCTGGGCTATCTTTTTAAAATTCATCTTTCTCAGTACCTGTGTGACACCTTCTACTTGCACAATTAACCCTTGCAGGGAGGAGCAAACCGTGGCTTTGAGACACCTCCCCATAGTCCTCTGCGCTAACTTGAGCAGGTCTATCCTCTGCTGTTGGAATGTCCTGAATTTCTTCCTTTTCTAATTTTTTTCTTTCTTATTTCCATTTTTGTTTTGTTTTTCTCCTATTTTTTTTTGTTGTTTTCTGATGGATTTCTAAATCTCAAGATAGGAAGAGAGGGGGCAGCACACAAGGCTTTTCTTTTCTTTTCCTTGAAATCCCTGAGCTTGTGACCCAGAAGGACAGACGGACAAAGTCTGATTTTAAGAGAGACAGCCCTTGGTGGCCTCAAATTCTATGTTGACCCAGGGGTGGGAAAGATTACTGTTTGCTAGAGAGGTAACAGTTACCTTGTGCAGTTGTTCAAATGCTCCTGTGGCTCAGTTCATGTGAGAAAAATATCAGCACCCATATTTGGCCAATGTTACTGATTATCAACACTCACCTCCAAAGAGAATAGAAAACAGACTCCTTCATTTTCAACAAGGCTCTGCCAAGATCATGAGAGAGTTCAATAGCAGTGCTAACTTTTTATTTAATAATATTGATTTTATCATTTTTACTACTTACAATGGGGATTGGTCGGCTGATAGTTATTTGACCTCCCTTTGTGCATGGCTGTGAAGTGCTTCGTTAAAGCTATTGACATATATCTCTCTTCCCCACTCTTCTGCCAGCAGCCCATCTCAGCAAATAATATTGAGATGCAGTAACTGTTCCCTGATATTGATTTCAGATTGTGTTCATCATACCCTTCCCCGGGCCAGGAAAAGAGCGGCAGCCTTAGTTCTGTAAACTCTTGACTGCTGCAGGCTGAAATATCATTTCCATCTTTCAAGCAAGAATATCAACCATATATGGTCCCCTCACCCCCACACACAGAAAATATTACTCAAGAAAATGAGAACAGGTTTTTGATCATATATAATTAAACTGATCTCTTTGGTATTGTGTTGGGATTTTGCTGTTATTTTTTTTTAAGGAATGCTAGATCTTTAGGCTCTGAGCTGGTTGGTAGGAGGAACTTTGATTATATTTTAATCTTCTAGGATTCAGGGTTGACACACTCAGCCAGACCCATAGCTTCTTTGACCCGCAGCTCTTACCACCTGCTCCAAGCAAAGTTCCATGACTTGACTCCATGGAGTCAGATGAGAAGGCACAGTATTTGTGTGTGTGTGTGTGTGTGTGTGTGTGTGTGTGTGTGTGTGAGTGTGTGTGTGTGTGTGTGTGTGTGTGTGTGTGTGTGTGTGTTTTAAGCCAAGCACTTAACATCTATGGAGCACCCTACAGAACTCAGTGATTATAATATAGATATCGGTCTGTGGGAAAGACATGACACATAGTTTGTGCAGGTTTGCATATTCATTGAGAAAAACATCAAACAGAGCAAATAACACTGGACGTCATACATTTCTTAGAAGGAAAAAAAGCACTCGAGAATCTGTACCAACTGCGATTAAGTCTGTAAGGTGGAATTGCAGGTAATTTTTTTTTCTTTATGTGTTTCTGTTTCCTAATATTTCTTTTGTACTCAGAAAGAAAAAACTGTTCATCAGTGTTATTTTTGGAAGTGAAAAGATTAGTTAGGAGGACTGGAACTCCAGAAGATCCTTGTCCACCAGAATGAATGCATTTGCCAGGGTGGAAATTGACTCTCTGGCCATGCTAATCTCTGCCCCTGGGGATGTAGAGCAGACGCTACCCCCCCCCCCCCACCGTCACCATGCACCTGCCAGTTTTCATTTTGTGAATCTAGCAGAGATTACACCAGCCTTTGTCACTGAAACAGAGATACTAAATGCTTTAGAATCAGACAGACCTAGGTTTGATTCTTAGTTCTTTCTCTTGCCAGCTGTGATTTTTGAGCAAGCTCCTTAATTTTCTCTGTGCCTTAGTCTTTTCGTCTGGAAAACGGGCTGAGAGGCTTAAGTGAGACAGTGTATGTAAGCTCCTCCTATCGTACCTGCAGGTAGCAAGCAGCCCATAAATGATCTTTGTCATTCTGTATCTTTATAACAATTTCCTCATCCAATCAGAGTCTTCATGAGATTAGCCTAGACATAGTCCACAAAACCGGCCTGCTTTTTTTTCTTAGTCTATCAATTTAATAATACCAGATTTTCAGGACAAACCTGACTTTATATGATACTTTTTGATTCAAGGTACTTCACTTTTAAATATGTATCTAAATCAAAACTTTTTTTGGCGGGGGCAGTTGTGGGGCTTGAACTCTGGCATGGGTGCTGTCCCTCAGCTCTTCAGGTCAAGGCTAGCACTCTACCACTTGAGCCCAGCACCACTTCCGGTTTTCTGAGTGGTTTATTGGAGATAAGAGTCTCACAGACTGACTGCCCAGGCTGGCTTTGAACCGTGATTCTCAGATCTCAGCCTCCTGAGTAGCTAGGATTAAAGGCGTGAGCCACCAGAGCCCGGCTAAATCAAAACTTTTTGAGAATTTTAAAATAAAGAAATAAATACTTGTATGGGGATAATACCTTACAAGCCTTTATTCCTGGTTCTGAAAATATCTCCATGTGCACACAGACTGTGCCCCACACTCATGCACATGTATGCACACTCACCTCCTGTCCAGAGCAAGCATTAATCACATACATGCCTCCCATCCAAAGCAAGCGTTCATCAAGAAAAACACTGGAGACATAACAGGACTCCTAGGAATAGTGTCTCATTTTGTCACAGTCCGTCTGGTCATTCTCAGGGGTTTTCAGTTTGTAGGGTCAGAGGCTCTTTTTACTGGCACGAATAGTGAATGGCGTGGGATTCTTCCCTGCAGGCAGCCATCTTCAGAGCTGAAAGCTGAGCATAAAAAGCAGCTAAATTAGAGACTTTACACAGTTGCTGAAACCTTCTTAATGAGAGACAGCGAACATTTTGCAGGCTACTGAACTTCTGAAATGTGACAATCCAAGCAAATGAAATCATGGTACCTCTCATTGTTGTTTAATTGGACTCAAAGTCTGCAAGAGGGGCTGCTGAAAGCTGCATTCAAGGAGACAGACAGGAATCGTACAACAACCAAGTCAGCCCACACAACACATCTTACAACTGTCCAAGCTCCACACTTGTGCTCAAGACTGACTCTTTTGGTCAAGAGAGAAACAACTGCAGTGAACAAAAGCCGAGATTACAAGGCAGGCCAAACACTGGCGTTGTGAATGGCATGCTGTCACCCTGAGTTATGCATTTGAAATAGCTCAGCCCCATGGCAGCCAGTACAGGCCAATTTATTTTAAAGAGGCAAAAAGGAGTGAAACAAACTTAGGCCCTCTCTCTTCTGCCTGTTAGGGTGTCAAGATATCCGTGTCAAGGAGTCCTGTTAACAGGAGCTGAGTTGAGCATAAACACTAACAAGAGAAGAACTAAGCATGGCCTCCTGTTGAGTGGAGCTAAATGGGAATCCCAGTCGAGTAACCCAAAAAGCAGAAAATTACCATAGCTGTCAGGAGTGGGACCAAAATCCTGTCAGACCACAGTAAAGGAATAGAAACAGCAAGGGAAAGTGAGACTGGAGGGGGAATGATGTGAAGAAACAGATGGTTTCTGGATGTACATGTCTAGCATTAGAAGGCCAGTGGAAGGTTGGGAAGGGCATCTGGGCATACTCCTATTGTTCTTGCATCCTTTGAATTCTCCAGGTTGAACCTGATTTCATAATCTTAGCTTCTTCTGGTCTGACCAAACCCTCTGACCACTTGAGTCCCCTTTTACGATCATTATGGCCTTAGGTTTAACCAGCACTGCTAAAAGAGTGGACAAATTGGGTGCCTGCATGTAACAGGCCATCCTAGACATTGATTTTTGAAGGTTCATTAGATAAATGCTGACATCACAGATTGATGTCTCTTTAAACCAGTACCTTGTGCAAGACTGTCGAGGGAATCAAAAATATTGATGTAACATGTTTGAGCAGAAGGCCCACTAGAGAATTCCCCTGCCTAAATGGGATCCATCAATTTAGGCTTTTGTTAATTATTCTAATTCTGTGTATCGCCTCTAAAGGAGAGTTTGTCTGCAGAATCTGTTTTTATGGGGACACTGCCCCATCTTTGAGAGCAAAGGCAGGTCAAGCGGGGTGCCCAAGTGTATTTTTCATTGTTGTTTTGAGCTGCTGTATGGTAATTAAAATTTTTGATCATAGACTCATTTTCCCATATACTGTGGTCAAGCAATTGACAAGGGACTGATTAATGGGCCGACCCTGGGGCCAGGAGGCTGCTGGGTTGTTCTCTTGTGGAAGGCATGCCGGCAAAATAAAGTTGATGGTTTTGTTTGTGTTTAACCCTTCACCTTGGCACTATCAATAGATTGAAGACATCATTTGTATCTGCAAGTGTTTCTTTAATTAAGACCTTCTAAAAATCTTTCCTATTGATTCATTCCATTATCCTATTGATTAACTGCAGTGGATCATGTACTTGGTCTTCATAGGAAGGCAGCACGCAGGCGTCTGTTGTGACTGCAGATACAGGCCACAGGCAGCCAGCAGCCAGTGCCCAGGCTGACAGCAGTGGTTTGCATTCTAATGAGGCATCCAGGGTGGCATGCCAAGGCAAATGGAGAACGCCTCTTGTCTTCTGCTGAAAGCGTGGCCAAGCAGAAACCATTCCTCCCAGTCCTTCCAGTCATCTGTCCTACAGCCACTTAGCTCACAGCCCAGGGTCACCCACATTCTTAATTTGGGATAGGGAAGGAGTCTGCTCTGCATTGGAATTTGAAAGTCTTGAGCTTGGGTGGGGGGGGGGGAGTGGGGGGTGGGGGGTGGGGTGGGGGGGGTGGAGAAGTACCCTCAGAAAACAGGGTGTGAAGCAGGCTTCTGAGGCTGGCCGGTCATCTCGATCATCTCGTCATCCCTCCCCCAGGCTGTAGCTTTAGCCCCTTTCCTCCTGCCTTATCAGCCTGTGAAATGGACTGTAGGAGGGACCATGAGGCTTCCTGGTTTAGAGATACTTCCTTTGACAAATCAGAAGGAAAAGCTGCTCATTTTGTTGACCTTTTGCCACAGGATATGTATCTGACTTTCCCCTACTATTAAAAATGAAATTACATCCAGACCACGTCTTAAATTTGAACTACTTCCTAATATTGTTTTGGAATACTGCTTAATATTGAAAATCAATGATACTAGTTGAGGTTGGACATACTAGCTTATGCCTGTAATTCTACCTACTTGGGAGATGAAGATCAGGAATATTACAGTTCACAATCTGGACAAAAAGTTAGCAATACCTCCTCTTAGTAGATTGGGTATGGTGACGTATTCCTATATCCCAACAACATGGGAGGCATAAGCAGGAGAACCACAAGCCCCAGACAAAAATAGAAGATAGTATCTGAAAAATAATTAAAGCAATTGAGGGCTGGTGACATGACTCAACTGGTAGTGTATCTGCATAACAAGCATGAGGTTCTGATTCAAATACAAAAAAACAAACAAACAAATTTGAATGGTTAGAGAAAGATTGTAATGCACACGAACAGTACATAATAGGTGCTCAGTCAATCTCAGGTCAACTTAAGTCCACCAACAATTCATTTCTCTACCCCTCAGACATTCCCCGTTGTATCCCCCAGCCATTCTCTACCTCCTTGCTCATCCTTCAAGTAGAACAGAGAAGAGGCCTTCACAGGAATACACAGACAGAGAAAATGTAGAAGCAGGTGATAATCAGGAAGCAGATTAAGTTAAATGTAAGATCTCTGCTTGGTTTTAGTAAGCAAATAAATTCCTTTTCACTCTCAGAATAAAAAATCCTGCCTCAAACATCTGTCCTAGGCAACCTCGTGATAGGGTGCAGGTGTGTGTGTGTGAGTGTGCAAGTGCCCATCACATCTGGATTTTCAGTAGTGTTTTGTTCCAGAATGAATGCCAGCCACTTCTTTGTACTCCCTGAGAAAGGATGTCAAAGTCTCACCCCCATGTTTTGGGGGTGAGAAAGTGGTAGTTTATGTGAGGAGCCTTCTTTATTTTTTCCTTAAGCATAATACCGAATGAAAATTTCCCCATTTCATACTATATAATAAACTTCCTATGCCTAGGCAATCTTCTGAACTGCCATTTTACCCTTGCAAACTTTCCAAATTTTGTAAAGTTTGTCATTATGAAGATACTTCCAAATTCTTCTTTATAAAAAGAGAAGAAACTTATTTAAACCTAAGTATATGTTTCATAAGCCAAATGATTTCTAAAATATGGTGGGAAACTTAAGTCTCAGTATTTCTAGGTTGGCTTTTTCAATTAACGTGTTTTAAATTAGTGTGTAATATGTTTTTTGAAACTTGGAGCAATATAAAACAGAAGCAACTCCTTAAATTTGCCACTCTAGCAGACCACTGTATGTTGTTACAAAGCAAAAGCAGGGGCATAATATATTGTAATTTTCCTCCTTTTTTTTTTTTGTTGTTGTTGTTGCTGTTGTTGTTGATCGTAGGGCTTGAATTCTGGGCCTGGGTGCTGTCCCTCTGCTCTTCAGCTCAAGGCTAGAGCTCTACCAGTTGAGGCACAGCACCACTTCCAGTTTTCTGGTACTTTATTGGAGATAAGAGTCTCACAGACTTTCCTTCTCAGGCTGGCTTTGAACTGCAGTCCTCAGATCTCAGCTCCCAAGTAGCTAGGATTACAGGCATGAGCCACCAGCGCCCTGCTTGTAATTTTCCTCTTTACACTTGCTGTATATAGCTAGAGCAGTTTTTCAGGTTTTGTTTTGCTTTGTTTTTTGTACTGCTGGGGACTGAACCCAGGACATCATGAATGCTAGGGCAAGTGCTCTATCTCAGAGCCACATCCCATCTCCAGCATTTTGTAAAGATTTTAAAATTTTCTTCAGGACCATAATCATTAATGGGAATTAGAATTTCCTTATATGGATACAACTGTGATTTATTTCACCTTTTTTTGGTGTTGGACATTTGAGTTGCTCCCTATTTTTTCTCTATGTGATGGGGTGATTATCCTTATCTAAAAACTTTGCTCAGTTCTTTACCGCTTTAGGATAAATCCGTAGAAATCTATGACTTGAGTCAAGAATACACACATTTCTACAGTTTGTGACATATATTGCCAAAATGTTCTTCCAAAGTATGAGCAGTTACATAAGCTCTCCCAGAAACCTTTAAGCAAAACTACTTTCTTCTACTTTCACTAGCACTGGGAAGTGGGAACACGTGTGTGTGTGTGTGTGTGTGTGTGTGTGTGTGTGTGTGTCTGTCTGTCTGTCTGTCTATCTGTCTGTGTCTTTGTCTGTGTGTCTGTCTGTGTATGTGTCTGTGTCTGTGTCTGCCTGTCTCTGACTGTCTGACAGATAAGAAAACTGGTATCTTGATTTAATCTGTTTTGATTACTAATGAGATAGAAATAGTTCCTAATGTTAAATGATTATATTTCTTTTGTGAAATGTTTGTCCTAAGCTTTTGTCCATTTTTATTGGAATGTTGCCTTTTTCAAATTGATTAAAGGCAATTTCTTTTAAATTAACAATTACAGCCCATTTTTTTTAGAGATAATCAGATTGTTACAAAAATCACATTGAATTCTTTGTAGCCATTAATAATATTTGGAATATCTTTGGTAAGAGCAATATTCTTTAATGTAGTTTTTACTTTTGAAAAATGACTCTTTTGCCTCTGAAAAAGATATATGAAAAAAAAATCTGACGGTGTCAATCCAGCTTGGGTTAACTATCCCAGGACACCACCAGCATTTTATTACAGTTGTCAAAAAAAAACCAACAAAAACCAGACCAACAATCTTATTGTTTTGATTATTGAGATCCAGCCACAGATCAACTGAGCAATTAAAATCTCTAAATAACATTCTCTGAATTGTCAAACAAAGGATTTGTTCCCAGTAGAAAGGACTTTAAAAAAAAATAAAAAAGGAAGAGGATCGCTTTCTCTGTAATGTCTGCCAGTAAATGGTTGCGCTAATTGGAATATACAGAAATATTTTACCAGTTTAACAATGCATGACATCCTAATAAGATTGTGGTGACAAGCTTTTCTTTTTATGAAAGGTGATGTTTTTGTGTGTTTCTAATATACATGGGCTCCTGTGTCTTTTTATGATACGTTATAAATGAAATTTTTACAAGAAAATAATTTTTCTGTTAAATCTTTTCTGCATATAAAATTATTTTTTAAAAGGGACCTCTGTTTTTGTTTATGATTCTTAGAATCATAGGTTTTAAGTAATCTTGGAACTGGATTGGGAAAAAAATTGCAATTAAATGCATATGAAGGTGCTAGCTCCAAATCCTACTGATCTACCACTTGAATGCAAGAGGCTGGATCCCCCCATCTCCCCCAGCTCAGGTGGCTGGCTGAGTTCAGGCTTGGGACAGTTAATGACAATCTTCCAAGACTAGCAGGACTTAACATCAATATCCCACTCCCTGATAATCTGTACACTCTGGAGGTGGTGAGCCCTGGCAGGTTTTTGATGATTTTCTGATGGCTTGTGTATATTTACAGTGTGTTTAAAATACTCTTTTTAATTATCATTTGAGTGACAAAGCTTAATCTTTCGATCTTTATCTGCACCTCCTGGTGATGCATGTTTGTTAGGCAACTCCAAAGAGGAAATTTAGCAAAGCCAGAGCTTTCTGCCAGTAATAAGACTGAGAAGTCAATAGATGATTAACCTGCCTTTCTCCTCTTCATGAGAATAAAGGAGTCACTTTATAAAATCTTTCCAGGTGGCCCAGATTTTTCAGAGCAGCATCCTTGAAACACGTAATAATTGCTTTGTAGAAATGCGCTGCATTTGAATTCCACGAAGCAAGTGTGTACAGAAAAAAAGATAGCAGAAAATAATTTGAATGTTATTCCTCTAGCACACCAATATGTACCCCCACTAAAACTGTCTATCAAAACTTGTCCTTTACATTTTATATACATGTTGGTATCACACGTGTGTTTTTATGTTTATGCACATAGGTACTTTTATACATGTATACTATCTCTATATATACATATAAATATGTATAGATAAATTACCATATGGAGTTAAGCAGCAGTGCTTTGTTAGAGTTTAGGAGTTAAATAAACAGTTATGATCATTACCTTCATCCATAAAACCATACTTGAAAATATTCATTTCACATGAAGTAAAAGGCCAGGATTCTTATTCCTTAATTGCTAGTGAGTAAAGGCATCTGTGCTTTAAGACAGTATATTGACATGCATATATGTATACATATATACATACATACATACATTCATACATACATGATGATGAAGCATAGTCATCACTTTTTTAAAAAGGTCTTGTCTTTTCTAGCAATGGGCTAAATTTTTAAGCAAAAGCAGGTTAACCCATCTGTGCAATGGTTTGGTATAGAAAGAGAGAAAGGCACTCGAGGCTTAGACAATTCAAATCTTAAAAATCATAGGCTGATTTGTAGATTGGGTAGGGTATTAAGAGCTGATGTTGTGCCTGAATAAGATAGTCATTCCATATTAGTCTGTACTTGAGAAAGCCCTCGTGTGACCATGTGATTTTACTGACAGCTCAGAACTAAGGCCCACGAATTCCACGGTGGGGCTGATGTCCTAGGAAAGGACATCCTGATTGTTGAAGCAGCCTCTGGGAGCCCACTGCTGCAGTGCAGAGTCATGCGAAGCACTAAACCTTCTCCCCCCACCCCACCCCAACCAAGCCCAGCACCTGCAGTTATCATCTTGAGCTGATAATTGTGAGCCTTCTTGTCATTTGTCACATATCCCTTCCCTTGGGCAGTTTTTCTCTAGTTTTACCTGTGAGTCATACACAAGGCTAAGTGTCCATCTAGCCACCTCCCCCACCAAGCTATCATCAAAATGATGCTTATCATATGATTGTCACTTCCAGGTTCTGGCCACAATAGGACAGCATGGAGTTTGTGCCAAGACTCAAGCTAGACAGGAAGGAAAGCTTATTGAGTTCCCTGATCTAGGCAGGCTAGTATTCCTGTTTGGAGAAACCATCAGAGGTTGGGAGGGGGAGGGACACAGGTGGAGATTGCAAGTTGAGAAAAGCCAGATAGCCAGGGTGCCCGTGGGCAACCAGTTTGACACATGGAACTGAGTCAGAAGGAAGAAGCAAGCCCAGCCTACAGGCCAGAATGGCAGGCAGTTGAAACAAGAATCCAGATTAGTGGATTTAGAGTGAGAAGATTAAAGACTCAGAGCAAAGGTCTGGGCAAAAGGACATCGAAAACCAGACAGAGAATCTCCTAACAATAAAAAAAAAACAAACCATAAATCTAGTTCAGAGATGAGTCCCTAACATACCATCATTTACCGGGAATGTGCTATCTGTAGAAATTTTTGAAACAATCATAAGAGTTTTTATTATCACCATTTGCCAACAATTCTAAGAGATTTCAGTGAGAGAATACTACTCCTTAATAAGTCTTTTATCGATTATAGTGCGAGTTTCTAAAGTTACTCCTAAAGTTTAATAGAGTATGTGTATGTATGCATGTGTATGTGCATACATGTGTTATGTGTATGCTTCAAACTAATGTCCTTTAGTAAAGTATCTTTTTGTTGTAGTTCTACTAGCCTTGAATTTAAGGCTTCATACTCTTGAATAGCTTACTTGCTCTCAGCTGGTGCTCTGCCAGTTGAACCACACCTCCAATCCAGCTTTTCCCTGGTTGGTTAGCAATAGAATCTCACAGATTTTTCTGCCCATGCTGGCTTCAAACCACCTTCTTCAGATCTTAGCCTTCATAGGGGCCAGGAGCTCCCAGCTGTAACATATCTTTTGAAAACATTGAATTCTTCTTAAACATTAATCCCAAGAATTCCTTGTGAACAAATATGCTGGCCCATATTTGTTTGTTTCTAGAATAAGTTCATTACCATTTTGAATTGTCTGAGGTGTTATCAGATGTAGTTTCTGTGTCCACAGTACCACACATCCCTGCACCTAAACAGTGCTGGTGAGGAAGGTGAAGATGTCATACCATGAGGCCGCCTGAAGTTTTCCTTTCTATTGAGTATAATATGTTCATCTGGAAAATGAAAATTTTAGTTACTACCTTGAAATATCTCAAGGAATTTTAATAATATTTTGAGTTGAAATTACTTTTTATTTAATTGTGAGTCAGTTTAAACTGAGGAATAAATCAAAATAACTGTTGCTGATTATTAAATGATTGCTATTGAAAATAATTTTGTTGTAGAGCAGAGACGGATGTACAAATCATGTGCTGGGCACATGCTTGGAGGTGAGGTAGACCTTACAAGTAGTAAGAATGTTCAGGGCCTGCAAACATGATCAGTGATTACAATGTTACACCTATTCTGTGTATGAACTGCCCTCAAAGTGAAACCAAGGCAGAAGCCAAAAAAGAAATATATAAGTAAATCTTATTAAAGTTAGGGAATATCAACAGTGATTGATTTTTTTTTAATATATGGCCACTATAGCATGTAGATGTCACCCAAGCCATTGTGTTGTGTGGGGTAGGGAACCCATGACACTATGCTGAAGCAGCTCCAAGACCCTGATATAAAAATGCAGAATGGTAAAATGACGGCAGAATGCAGAAAGAGTGGGGGCGGGGAGAGGGAGAAACACTCAGTAAATTGCTAAAAGCAACACCAATGGGCTGGCAGTCTGGTGAACTGACCAAGGCCTGGTCACAGAGATGAACAGGCAGGCCCAACTCAGAGAGGTGGGACTTGTTGCAAAATGGAGCTTGTGTGTCCTATCTATCTATCTCTAGAAGACAGCCACTGCTCAGCTCAACAGCTATCTTTAGGAGGAGGTGTGACCCAGATCAAGTTTTTCTCATTTCTTGAGAGAAGCCAAAAGCTAGATGTTTAAATCCATTTCTTTTTCACTTCTTGTTCTCTAGTAATTAAAAATTCACATTTAAAAAATAATGAAAGTCCAAAGTTTAGGACAAAATAAATGAGCCTGAATATGCCCCCCTTTTGCAAAATGATATACTGTGTCACCATTTTCTTACCTCTGGCCATAGTTTTAAACTGTTTCATTTTAAAATTACCAGTGGCTCTCAGTACCAACTACAGTATGATTTTCATGTTCTAGAATATTAGAGAGGGCTAATAACAATACCTGTTAAGAGTAGGAATGTTCCTGAACAGTAAAAGACCAAGGCTGAATTACTGCCACAAAAACAGACACAACTCTGGGGAAGACAAACTATTAGTACCAGGCTTTGTGCCATATACTTGGCATTCATAATCTCATTGACTCCTCATGGCAGCTCTATAAAATAGACATCTGTGTCCTCATATACAAATATGGAAACATTGCAGGGTTTCATAATTCTCCATAAGTTCATCCATACAATCAACACTTTAACCTGAGCCTCTATTGGACTTCAAAGCTCAGAGTCTCAGCCACTATGGGGAGCAAGAAGCTACAAGCCAAGCTGCCTCCAGTAGCAATCAGAACCTATCATCCCAAGAGCCTTGGTGGCTTCCTCAACAATGCAAGATAAACAAATTCCTTTGGTAGTTGTTTTTTTCTAAATGGTCAGTAATTATTTCAACACCAGAGCTTGTTGCCATATTGTCCTGTTATGGAGAATTCTCCCTAAAACCCCTCGGGTTTTGTTAAGAGGGGCTAACTTCTGTGCAGTTTGGCCTGAAGCGCTTGTGTTGCTGCTCTGCTCCTAGAAGAGTGTGCTTTGACTTACGCATTGCTTACTTAATAGACCACAAAAGTCAACATCCCTCTGGAAGTACAGCTCGTGTTTACAGGCGTCACAGGTTCCAGAAGATCCTGTTAAGGCAGGATGTTGAGTGAAACCCGAAAGGCCCCAGGTCTCCTAATTATAATGTTAATATTTAAGAAAGTGTCAGAGTCTGGCTCTGTGTCTTCTACAATAAAAGGGTCTTTTTTTTTTCCTCTGCCTCTTCGCTTTACAGACCTCAACGTGTACCAACATTATTAACAAAAAGCCTGTCCCTGTCCCTGTCCCTGGGTATGGGTGAGGCTGCAAGAGACCAACTTGGAGAGGGAGGAGAAAAGTGACTGGCCCTAGTCAGTGCAACTAGAAAGAGTTGGAGAACAAGACTTGTGGTGTAGTCCCAGCCCCTCCCCACAGGAAGCAATTAGATACCATTCCAGAGACTTTCCTGACTGCATCCTCATTCATTTCCACAAACCCCATGGCATGGCCAATCTGGGGTCGGGCTGTGTGAGTGGCTCTGTCAGCCACACAGGTATTAGTGTGGCAGACACAGGAATGAAATTCAATCTGACATCCAGTGAGGACACATTCATGACCAACTGTGTGGCCCCCAGAGGGCCTGATAGGTCCCACTGGCTGTCTCTTATGCACCATGTATCTAAATGCACACTAGCAGTGTTCTGTCTGTGCCAAGCCCTGTGTCATCGCCAAAGAGGAATCAGATTTGAAGCAAAAATAACAAGCACTATAAATCATTAAATGCCCCCAAACACTGTGGCATTGTTTGGAGATTATGGCGTGTGTAGAAATAGCAGGAGGCATGTAATCAGAAACTCAAAATGAACAGCCTTGTGGAACAGATGGGCAAAGTCTATGGACTTTCCTTCCTTCATGGAGGAGGGGCCATTATTTAAATTTATATACAGTGGGAGCCTCTGGAACCCCATGCTGGTGATTAAATCCGGATGATCAGAGCATCCAGATGTACTAAGCAGTGACCTTCTCAAATCATACGTGAACAGAGATGCCAGACAGGCCAAGGACATGATGAGTTTGTTTCATAGGCCTGTTAGTCCTCGTGCCAGGTCAGTGGAGACACAGCAGAAAACAGATTGAATTCTACCAGCATCTACCTGTCCCTTCAGCCTTGGGCAATTTAGCTCTTCTCTCCTAGCTTAATTCCACCCACCCACCACCCTGTTTATCCAATAATTTATTTCAAACAAATTCTTCTATTTAAATAGTCACAAGGAAGAATGAAAACTATACAGTGTCCAGTACCAGGATATGGCCTTTTGTGAGTTCAACTTGAACTGTTGGATCAAGAGTAGACAGTGTCTTGCCTTACAAGCTATCCACTCAATGCATATAACCAAATGTGTCTATTTGGATCCCAATTGATTCTGAGTTTTGCTCCCAAGGCTGCGAACTTACAGCAGTTCCATATAGAACTGAAGTTTTCTTTTGGAGGCATAGCCTTTGAGAATGGCCACCATAGTGAAACCTGCAGTTAGGGTAACTAGTCCAGAATTCTGTTTTACCTGAGGTTGAAGAAGATTACAGACATAGCCTAAGTGACCCTAATGTGGCTTTAATACCCGTTGTGGCCACTCATGTTTCGTGCTGCCCCATACCTTGTCATCTCCCTTTGGAATAGACATATTCTCCTGGGCTTAGTCAGAGATGAGCTCTTATCTTTACCCCAGACTTACCTGATTGTTTATAATGATCATATTAGTTACCTTGGTCAGACAATTTTAGAAAGCCTTAAAAGTCTACTTATGAGGACACAGTTTTGCATGTAGAATGCTATGAGATAGGCCAGATCATCCCTCATTGCTTTCAGCTAGACTCAAAGACCCCTTTTGGTTGCAGTTAGCCAAAGAAACCCTTTAAAAGCAAATTTATTTCAAAAGAAAAAGGGTGGTAATTTTGGAACTCTTGTTATTATTAGGCTTGCCTTCTTACCCCTCACCTTGAGTGGAAAAATGGAACATGTCATGTACATATATTTTCTTAATTATAAAAAGTAAATACTCTAAAATGTATTTTAAACTGTGATTATGTTACAGTGGTTTCTAGGTATGATAGATTAGATTTTTATTAAGAGTTTTATTAAATAACTGGTGTTTCACCAACATCTAATTAAATCTTCTATCTAAATTGAACAGAAAATTATGGGGGAAAAGAAAGCATTTGTAGCAGACTTTATTACAGATAAGGCTATTATTTGTTCATCTTAAGAATTTGAGATCGAATTTACAAGCAGCATCCTCATCAAATTTCTTTTCTGGGCTTCTGAGCTCTGGCCCCTTGAAAGCAGCCCATTATCTCCCCCTTTCCCCCTTTTTATTACAGTGTCCTGGTTGCTGGCAACACGCCCGCTGTTTAAGGTTACTTTCATTAATTAACCGAAAGTTAATTTCTTTGCAAGCAAAATCTCTGATCTCATTATGTTGTCTTTAAAGCTGAAAGCTTCAGGTTTTCTGGTCTCCTTTGATGACACAATAAAAAGCATGCTCTTTATCTTAAGGAAAACTGTCTCCAGGGCTTAATTTAATAGTCCTTGAAATAGTTATAGCACAGCCGGGCAGACTACAATACTATGCCAGTTCAAGAAAACCTTGGCTTTGTCATGGTGAGAGAGTGCAATGACGGGTACAGATGTGAACTACAGTGGATCCATTTTCAAAGTTCTGCCTTTCCTCTCTTTCAGTCCCATTTTCACACTCACTCTCCAACCCCATTACATTTCCCATTGGAGAATGAAACATACCAGAGCAGTTTTTCTTCAAAGTGTGTCTCTACCCAGCCATCCTGTTCTCTGAGATTTAGGGAGGTTCAGTGGTTTGGCATTTTGTATGTTTACCTTGACTACATTTGGTAAACTTTCTTTTGTTCCTCAGGTGAAACATGACAATGTTGAGTGGTACAAAGAGGTTTGAGTAGTGTTGGCAGACCTATATTTGAATCCCAGCCTTTCCTTGCACAGGCTCTGTGGTCTTGGATTGGTGATTCAATTTCTCTGAGCCTCAGTTTCCTCATCAGTAAATGAGGAATGACTATGTAAAGATAACTAAAAGTGAGCTGGGTGCCAGTGGCTCATACCTGTAATCCTCCCTACTCAACAAGCTGAGATCTCAGGATCACAGTTCCAAACCGTTCCTGGTTTGGAACTGGAAAAATCCTTAGACTCTCATCTCAATTTAACCAGAAAGCAGAGGTGTGACTCAGGTGGTAGAGTGATAAATGTGATAAAATGAAGTAATCGGTTTATACAGGGTACTAAAGTGCCCTCCTCTTGGCAATTCTGTTCTATCTTTACCAATTACAAATGTGTTGTA